TTATCACTTGTCACTAATTGTACCGGTTTCAGGAAAGTACACCCCTAACCATTACTTGAAATTGCGGCACTTGAAATTATTTTAGGCAGGATTAGAGTAAATTAATCTATGATACCTTTTTCCCCCCTTTTTTATTAGCTATAAAATAATACCGAGCGTGGGGCAGGATTAGAATAAATCAATCTATCAGACCTTGGGCGTGGTCAAATACATCACTCGAAAGGGTTTGACCTCCCGAGTCCAAAACTGTAATTATATATCAAATCGATCAAGAAATGACAAAGCTATGAGCTAAAAGTCTTTACTTGAAAAACTCGGAACCATTCTATGAGCAGCTATGCCGCGGCTAATAACACTAGGCTTCTTATGGTGGTAAACTGTATATTACACATATGGCGTTTTTTAGTGGTCATTTACTCACCGTAGTGACTCTATAATTGTTGATGAGGGGTGGAACTCCCCGAACCTGAGTAATTCAGTGACAAATGAGGAATCAAATAATATTCATATTTATGTTTAATATATTAAACAGTTTATCTTCTAAATAATTTAAACGTAAACTTAATAGCATCAATGCTACATATGCTTCAAATTTGGAATAAACATAGGTTCACTGTAGTGGGTAAAATATAACTAAAAAAAGCATACATATATTATAATGCATATTCCCACAAACCTTCAATTTATAACACTTCTGGGCTTTTTAAAAACCTATAACGCATATTCTATCATATAACAGTCTAAGTGTCAATATATATAACAATTCCTTTCCGATGGCTGGTGAATTTATTTTGATTTATAGAACTTCCCTTTTCATTTCGTAGTTATTATTTAGCCTTGAATATATAAAACATCCTTCCTAGTCATCACTGGACTTTATTTCAACCTATAACACACCTCCTTCCATCTTATAACAGTTTTACGTTCAACTTATAATACATAATTTCTGGTGCCTGCTGGACTATATTTCAACTATATATTCAATGAATATATACATATAAATGTGTGTGTGTGTGTGTGTGTGCGCGCGCGCGTTCATTTAACGGGCCAATAGGGTTGTTCGTAAGTGAAAGATGAAATAGTCTGTAACATTTCTTGGAAGTTAAGTGTTATAAATGCTTTGTTTGCCATTAAAATAATTTCAACACACTTATTAGAGAGTCAGCCAAAATACAGTGTGAATATAGAAACCTTTGAATTCGTGCTATTTATGTAAAAGCATTACTTTCAACCCTTCAAATATTCTTTAATGTCACTACTTAGCTTACTTCTATATGGAACAGAAATACTTCCATTTTAATACCTACTTGACGATTAGTGTATCGAGCTGCAGTTTAAATGGTCCATTGTTCGATCTGCGATCTGCAGCTGAATACGCTCCACACTTTCAGCGTGGGGAGAATTATAATTGTGACAGTCAATTTCGCTAGTTGGCTAAGAGTATCTACATAGGTAACCGATGCTATTAACTGACTTCCCTCGCTCTGATTAGCAGTTTTCAATTAAGGATGGCCATGTCTGAACCTTAGGGTCTCTAACCTTGTTTAGCTCACGTGGCGCATCAGGTTAAAAACATCACATCTTGACTAGGAATGAAAATATGACAGTTTTAGTTATCACTATGGTTCTATTTAACTAGTTTTATTCTTGTTTCGTGATAATATTCAATAAATTGTACAGACTAATTTATCATATCTGTAACTATACGATACATTCATCGAATTATTAGTAATTTTAGAATGATAAGTTTAACACATACAACTAGAAAACGGTTACAAGGGATATATGCGGGAACCAACATCGGGAACTGTTATAAAGGTGTTTATAATTCACCAGTTGTTTTAAAATGAATTTGGTACTTATAGTACATAAACTAGTCCAAAACTGTCAGGAAGACTTTTATGAATCCGTTAGATGATGGCTATATAATGATTGATTGTGAAAACAACAACATAGGGAAGGGTATAAAACAAATCTTATTGAAACAGTTACCGTTTTGGATAGTTTCTAGTGTTGTCATGTATATATCGTTTTCCTGTATTCCTCGATACTCTCTGATATTTTTATATGTAGTACATTCTTTGGTGGTTCATGATATTGTTAATATGTGAACACCTTTTTCAAACTGGCCAAGCATGATAATAATAAATTATACTTGTCATATGACATTAGTATTAGGCCTATTAGGTTTTAGCACTACAATATTTATTCAGTCTCTTAGGAATTTTAAAGAATTAAAAGAGTGTATAATGATAGTATTGCAACCACAATATGTTCGACATATCCACTGTCGACGACGCTTTTCTCTCAATCCAGAGCTCATCAGGCCGACTGGGACGAAATAAACTCAGTAGTAACTGGAACACTATTTAGATAAGCCATTGTTACAACTACAATTGTTATGGTTTGAACGCCTTTTCCAAGCTGAGAAACATGATTGTGGTTAATTATAATTGTCACTAGTATAAAACTAAAACGAATTTGTCTGTACCTCTAAAATGCACCTACTCTACACTTATTTCATCAGTATCGAAGTAATTTTTTAATCATCACATTTTTAGTATAAACTACACGGAAAAATGAAATGTTATTGTGAACAAAAGTGCATGTGCACTCTGAAAGAGACTTAAATAGCATTCTTGAGCCTTTTCACTGTATTCTAAGTCAGGATGTAGAAAACATAGTACGGACTTTCCGACACAAATTTTCAACTCTTTTCGACTGTACAAAATATAAAAGATGTGTTGTGTTAATAAACGTTTATTGTAATTAATATTTAAGGCTACGTAGATAATATATGGGTTTAAAATACCAAAAGATTGTGATTTTCTATTAATGATGTATATACATCATCTTTTGGATGCTTGTAGGAGCATTCTTATATTACATTTTATTTTCTCACGACACCCCTTACATTATAGTAACAAGAAATCTATACCGCTGATATATGTATCACGATATTTGGTATTTTTGGATAGTTTACAGGTTATTTTAATGGTATCACATGATATTATGCTTGCTGGTAGAGATATCTGAAATATGCGGTTTTACACCTTCATATAATTCCATATCAATATTTTGTAATGTTATGAATATTCTCTTGGTAACTTGCTTAAAATCCTTACGTATATAAAAAAGAAGTCAACTGTTTTTCAGTTTCTGTTTGTGTGTCTGTACAAACGTTCTTCAGTGATGATGTTCTTTATTTATTACATTTTTGTTGATCTGGAAATGTTTTCGCATTTTCGTTTCTTCAGTTTCTGAAATCTTTTCTATAAGTTCAAAACTCTATGTAATAAAGTCATGTATATATCTTTTATTTCTGGCAATGTTATAATAGTTATAATGTTGTATTTTGACTGTTTCCTTTTCTATATATTTGGAGTTTGTGATACTCGATAGATCACAATGTCTATCTCTTCATCTCTAAACAGAAATAATTACAAAAAGTAACAAGAAATGTAAAGACAAAAAAAAAAAAAGAAGCAAACATTAATTTAGTATTAACGGTTTGAAATAAGCTTGGCACAGTTCCTCGAAAAAAGATGAAAACATGAAGAGAGGAGATAGGCTAGCGTCGTCCACGGAGAGCTATGAGTTCATGAAACATTCACAAGGCCGTATAGTGGGCGAAAGGTTTCAACGTTCTTCGCTCTACGAATACACCATCCCCGGTCGGCGCTAAAGCAAATAAACGCATCACCAACAGTAGAGTAATACAAGTAGCACAGAATGGTTTATATAGGCCGTAGACAGACACCATCAACATTATGTACTCTACAGGCGGGTTTAGTGCCTGTTCCTGGTACCAGACACCACTGGGAATGAATTACGACGTCGATGGAGTGAGGGGGTTGATAATAAGAAAAAATGAGGTGGATTCTTGGGATTAAAAGGGACTATAAATTAATAATCCAGCTGAAACCTTCGACCTTCAGATGTTGAAACAATTGCAAAGTTTATCGATATCATTGTTTACTTAAAAACTGCTTCCAATCAACTAAGAGTAGTACCCGTTTTTCATGTTGCAACCAGCTTCCACAATTAAAAGCAGTACCCGTTTTCATGTTGCAACCATCTTCCATAATTAAAAGTAGTACGTGCTTTCATGTTGCAACCAGTTTCCACAACTAAGAGCAATACCTGCTTTCATGTTGCAACAAACTTTCACAACTAAGAGCAATACCTGCTTTCATGTTGCAACAAACTTCCACAACTAAGAGCAATACCTGCTTTCATGTTGCAACAAACTTTCACAACTTAGAGTAGTACCTGGTTTCATGTTGCAACAAGCTTCCACAACTAAGAGCAATACCTGCTTTTATGTTGCAACAAGCTTCCACAATGAAGAGTATTACCTGCTTTCATGTTGCAACAAGCTTTCACAATGAAGAGTATTACCTGGTTTCATGTTGCAACAAGCTTCCACAATGAAGAGAATTGCCTGGTTTCATGTTGCCGTAAACATTTGGATCTTGGATTTTCTGTTCTATAATAAACAATGTTTTTCTTTTAAGACAAATATTAATACTAAGAATATTAAGCAAAATAAAGCAGTAACTTTCCAGGTTTTGCTTTTATTCTTGTCGAACATGTAAGACATACAATGCATAAGCTTATATTCCAGAACCAGTCGTGTTTCCTATTAACACTTTGGATAGAAGACAATAGGATGGGAACTTTAGGGGAAATTAGGTAATATTCTTCCATTCTGGACAAACGTGTTTGTATAATCAGAGAACTGCTTACTCTGAAGTCGTAAAATATGTTATCCTACTGTCACATTAGATCATTTTACTCCCAACAACACTGCCATCAGCATGGAGATGAAGAAACTGCCCGAGTGTAAGTTTCATGCATACTTTTTAGTGTTGACCTAAGATGACTTTTAAGATATCCGTTGCCTGATTATGTAGGAGCTCAGACGACCACAAATCACGATAAGAATGCAGCCTCTGAGCACCGCCCACACGCGCAGCATCGTCTTCACCGACCCACGTGAAGACTCGCAGCCGGCGCGTGCAGTGAGACTCCGAGAAGAACCACTTACACGGTGAACCACACGACGGGCGCGTGTGCACAAGCACCTAGAGATTCTGAGCTTCAGCAGTCACAGTCTGATAGGGACAGTCAGCACAACACTGGAAAACGGCACTGCTAATCGTTGTACTGGTCTGGTTATTCGCTAAACGCTCAAGTGTTCGTACTTTACGGAATGTCTTTGGGAAGTATTGGAGAAATGAAAGGAGCTATTTTTGGGCAGGGGCAAAACGGTCCAGGGTAAGTTTTACCCTAATCTTTCACCATTTATTTGATAAACTCATATGTATACATTAAGTCAAATTTGAAAGAATAAATAAAGTTGTTACTAGGTGTTATATTCTAGGACCATTGAATTAAGATTTTCTTTAAAATATCAAATAATAATTACTTTTTCTGGCTTGAGCTTTGAGCTTACAATACGTACATACCGACGAATAGTGCGATAGTCCTAATTACTCAACACTTTATAGAGTTTTCAGTCAATTTGTTAACAAACTTCTGTTTCGTAACAGTATTTACAGCTATATAAGTATGAGTTGCCTACTTAATAACAAAGACAAATTCTGGTAAGTTTGTGTAATTTAATGATGAACTTTATATGATTCTGTAATATCTACACGTCACTATCATATCTAGATATTTGCTTATTGTTTATCTTACTCTGTTCATATCCTCAAAACGATTTTACGAAATTTAGCTTACTAAGTACTACTTATCATCAAAATGGTTTTGCCAAATGTAGCTTAATAGGTACATGTTAATTATTGTATTTTGGCACTTGTGTATAAAGTTAAAATCATCAATAATATTCAACGTTAAAACTGGTACACAATTAACAACATT